TGGGGGCTGGAAGCGGGGGGGGGGGCAAAAATAAGTGAAAAATGGGCTGTTTTTTGTTTGTTTTTGCCTCCCCCCAGCCCCCAGGAGCATTCTGCAAGCCTCCCAAAGCCTCTACATGATCTCTTTTTTTGCAAAACACGGGGCATGCAGAGGGGTTGGGAAGCCCTGCAGAGTGCAAAACCTTTTTTTTAAAAAAATTACCTCTTCAAAATCTTGGTGCATCTGAAAAATACAGTATATTTTGTTCCGTGCGTGCCTTCTTTCTACTTAGTACTATTTTTGTCTGTGGATTTTTGTGTACTGGATGGCCTCAGGAGCCCCCAGGAGCCGTTTGATTGCAGTGTAGAAATGCTTTCATTTGAAGCAGGTTGTTTCTCCTGGGAAAACGGTCTGTGTGCTTTCAGTTCCAACCCAGCAGCTTTCTCCACGTGGCCCATTTCCCTGATGTGATCCATGCTTCACGACTTGGCGGACTTTAACTCCTAGAATTTACCCCACCCCTGCATTATATAACTGTACTCTGATTTTAAATTTTGATTTATTTATTTACTCGTATGCTGCCTTTCCTATGTTTACAAACAACTCTTTCCTCCTCTGTTTCTCACCACAACCCTCTGCTGGGCCGAAGGAGAGGGACTGGCCCAACGGCCCCAGCTGGCTTTCTTGCCTAAGGCAGAGCTAGAACTCCCGCTCTCCCACTTTCTATCCTGGTGCCATTCTCTGGCTGTTACTGTTAACCTTTTGCAAGCCAACCCAGGCGGTCGTTCTGCCCCAGTCACTAGCTTGCCTCTGTCTCCGCAGGAAGAGACCCAGGCCCTCAAGGAGGAAGGGAACCTGCCGTTGCTCCTGGAGTCCCTGGATAAGCTCGAGAAAGAAGGGAAGGACAAGGAAGGCCCTGCCTGGTGAGGCTCCTCTACGTGCAGCTGCATTCTCGGGATTCAGCCCAACGGCTCTGCAGCCTGCAGTTCTTGCTGCCCTTTGTTTCTGAGGTTGGAGCAGTTGATGGTATCCCTCTGAAGGCAGCTACGTTGCTTGTTAACGGCAGAGGTGTGGCTCCCCTGCCAAAATGCCGGGTGGGAACTTTTATGGCGCCCTCTCCTGCCAGGAGAGCTGATGCCTCTGGGTGGCTGCTGATGTGCGCCTTCTCTCTGAATCCAGGCGCCCAAGTGGCATCCCCGAGGAAGACGTCCGCGGGGTGGTCGTGCCCTACCTTCTAAAGCAGCGCAAATTCCTCCAAAAGTCCCTGAAGGAAAAGCAGGAGACCAACTCACACCTGGCTGCAGCTGTGGTGGCCGGTCGGCAGCGGATTGCAGAGCTGGAGGAGCAGATCCGTCGGCAGAAGGAAGAGTGGCAGGTGGGTGCTGCCTTGACAAGCAGTCAGGACCAGGAAATTCCTGGGGATCTGAACGTCTTTTTTATAGTGGGGGACCAAAACTGGATGCAGGACTCCAGGTGTGGCCTTACTAAGGCTTTACAGGGTGGTATTATGACCTGCCTTGATCTTGATTGTATCCCTCTGTTAATGCAACCTAGGATTGCATTGGCTTTTTTGGCTACTGGCTCCTATTTAGCTGGTTGCCCACTAAGACTCCAAAATGCCTCTCCCAGTCACTGCTATTAAGCCTAGGTTCACTCAGTCTATATGCGTACTCTTGGTTTTCCCTGCCTAAGTGTGAGACTATACTACATTGAATTACATTTTCTTAGAGAGGGCCCAGTGTTCAAGTCCGTCAAGATCTATTTGGATCTTGAGCCTATCTTCTAGGGCAGGGATGGTGAACCGTTTTTGCTCGTGTGCCATAAGTGGGGGAGCGCAGGGGTGTGTGTCTTGTGTGGGCGTGCTGTACCCATAATGCAATGTGTGACCCCCCCCTAGTGTGCCTGCGCGCACTACAGGCACACCCCCCCCCATTTTTTGCATGCTTTTTTCACCCTCCCCAGGCTCCAGAGGCTTTATAGGAGCCTGGGGAAGGCGAAAACCGCCTCCCCTTCCCCCCCCTCCCCCGGAAGCTCTCCGGGAGGCTTCAGGGACCTTCAGGAGGCTTCCCTGAAGCCTCCGGAGCAGTCAAAAGGACCCTCCGAGCAAACAGGGTCAGTTCCTGAACTTCTGGTTTGCCCGTAGGGCCATTTTTTTGCGCTCCGGAGTCTTCAGGAAAGCTTCCTGAAGCCTCCGGAGGGCCTCCGGGGGGGGGGGGGGGGCTCTCTTTGCCCTCCCTAGGCTCCTATAAAGCCTCTGGAGCCTGGGGAGGGCGAAAAATGGCTTTAAAAAAGGGTGAACTCACATGCCCTGACAAATGGGTCCGCGTGCCACTGTTTGAGGGTGTTAGCTATTCCTGCCAGTTTACAAATTTGATAAGTCTTCTATTGCATCATCTAAGTCGTTTATGGAAATAATGAAGAGTCCTGGGCTTCTAAGATGGAACCTTGTGGTACCCCACTGCTTCCTTCCCTCCATGTGGACGTAGACCCATTGAGGACTACTCCTTGAGTACGGTTTGTCAGCCAGTTACGAATCCATCTGATGGTGATGCTGCCAAGGAGTAGGTTGTGGTCTACTTTGTCGAATGCCTTGCTGAATGCCTTGTCTATTATGTCCACAGTATTTCTGTATGAGAGAGACTCTTCCTTCTTACTCAGAGGCTGTTCTGCCAACGGACTGACCTCTTCTCTCCTTTTAGGGAGTTGCTATCGAAGGCCGGAAGATGATGGAGACCTTTGATGATCTCTCCTGAGTAGGCCTGGCTGCTTTTTGGGGGCGAGGATGTGAGAAAGACCTCCGAGGGCCACGCATTGAGCCCGAGGATTTTCTGCCAGATTTCCAGAGCAGCCAATCTGTGGGAAAAGGCTGCTCCCTCTCGGCTTGACTATGGGGTGGGAGGCTGGGAGTGGGGTTGCATGTGACTGTGTGCTTATTTTGATTAAAATATTGCAGCTCATGCTTTTGCGTTTCTTTCGCTCAGAATATTAATTCTGCAAGCTCTCTTGTTTGACAGTACAAATGATGCAGTCGGACGATGAGTGCTTCTTTCGGATGTACATTCAGAGATTGCATCTAGATTCATGCTCGCTGGGGAATTCTGGGAGTTGAAATCCGGACCTCTTGAAGTTGTCAGTTGTTGAAAAAAATACTGGACAAGAAGGTCTCCTTTCATTCTTCAGCATCTTTTCGGATATCTGAAGAGCTTCCTCTCACCCTCAGCCGTCTTCCTCCCAAGGTTCAACCAGCTTTTTCAATGCCTTGATGAGACTCGGGGTCATCTTTCTCCCCTTTTTCCAAACTCTTCCCATGTCTCTGAAAACGGAGGCCTGGCTTTCCCTGACACTTTTTGGGTCTGGGAGGCATGGAGAAGACCTTAGGATTCGTAGAGTAGAGTAGGAAGGGACCTTGGCGGTCTTCTAGTCCAGGGGTCTCCAACCTTGTCAACTTTAAGCCTGGCGGACTTTAACTCCTAGAATTCCCCAGCCAGCTTTGCTGGCTGGGGAATTCTGGGAGTTGAAGTCCACCAGGCTTAAAGGTGACACGGTTGGAGACCCCTGTTCTAGTCCATCTCCCTACTCAAGCAGGAGAACCTATACTATTTCAGATAAGTGGCTGCCTAGGTTTTTCTTTAAAAAAGCCTGTTTCTTCTGCAGAGTTCTTCATGCAGCTCTTCAGGGTGGGTTTCTTTTATTCTCTTATCAAATTTATCTGCTGTCTGGCTCACATTTCAGGGTGACTTCAGTGGCTTGTATACCAATGGCAGAGGAACCCCTCCTTGAGACAAAGCTCCCAGGAGCTTCTGCATCTGGGTCCTAAATGTGTCCCCCGTTTTGCTTTGATGTGTGCAGACCTCTTGGACCCCAACTAGGCCCCTCGTAGAAAGCAAGGTGTCAGCGTTCCAAATATCAGCCAGAATTAAATCAGAGTCCAAGGCAGAACTTTCCTCAAACTTACAATTTATGAAGAGAGACGTGTTGGCACATCTGTGGAAACCCGAATCTGAAAGTTTCCGGGGTTTCCCACCCAGTTGAAAGTTGATGATGTTGTCCCCCCTCCACACACCCACAAGTCCAACACATGGTCCAATCTTCTTCAGCCACGCTGGCAGTTCCACCCATCCACTTCCGATCAGGTGCAGAGACAAAGGATGGCCTTGGGCTTCTAGAAAGGAATGTTTTATTTTGACAACAACGTCCTACTCCTTACTATTCCCCCTCCCAATTCCCCACTAATGAAACAGCATAGTAAAATAAGAGTGTGTGGCAGGCCAAAGATCCTAAAAGGAATATGACTGGAGACTGGAGCTTTGCTGCCTACCAAACACCTTTTTCTTAAAAAAACCCCAAAGTTATTTATTTTTTTTGTTACATATTTTAACTTCTTTTATAAAGAAAGTGTTGTCCTGGTCCCCCCCCCCCCTTTTACATCTTCTATTTATGCCTAGTACATTTTACACCGTATCTCCATTTTTACATTTCAGTCATCTTATTTTCATTCCATATTCTTCCACTTAATTCTAATTTCTTCTTAATATATTGACAATATTATTAATTGTTTCTCCAAATTAATCAAATTTAACATATCCTTTCCATCTATGAGTCTATTTTACTGTTAATAACCTACATCCTCAGATTTAATTTTATATAGTAAACATTCCGTTTAGTTAGTTATCCACGAGTAATACTTTTAATCTATTTCCCTCGCATTGTATTGCATATATACCATTGGCTATATTTACTAGATTTTATTCTATTCTTACTAGTAAATCCTTTTCTTTCTTTCCTCCTTTGAACCATTTTCTCTTAGTCTCTCAGGAACTTCTATCATATTCTCTTCTCTCCACCCATTTACCTAGGGTTTTTTCCCCCCTTTTTCTTGAAATTCCTATATTTTTTCTTTCCAATCTTTTTTCTCCTCTTTAATTCTGTTCAAACATCTGCTTTTGATAAAGAGAAGCCGGTTTGGGAGGGAGGCTGACCCAGCTCAGACTTTGTAAACAAAGCCTTGAGGCTGTGGTGAATGTAAGACGAGATGCCAAGGCAGAATGGCTGGGCGGCCCACGCCGGGCTTCCTGGGGCCGTTGGGAGATGCCAAAAAAGACTTTGCTGCCTCCATCTTTCTGGCTGAGCTTCTGCCGGTTGGTGAGAAAAGGGAGTTGGTGCTGCTTCCCCTGAAGGAAGAGCTTCCCCAGCATCGATCATTATCTTTATATAATTATACATCCTTACGTGCCCCCAGTTTGTGATTCTGTCTTTAAATCTCAATAGTTTCCCATTGTAGATATATTCCATGTTCCCTCTCCATTTTTCCATATCTTGGATTGGATTACCCTTAAATTGTCTATAAATGACAAACCTCGCTGTTGAATATTACAACTCCCTTAATCTATTATTTAAGAGATTTCTCTGTTTTCAAGCTCTCCTAGTTCATCTCGGAACTCTGGAACTGGCAGACGAGATCTCAGAACCACTGAACTATATCTTTCAGAGATCCTGGAGNGGGGGCAGAGGGAAGAAAGGAGGTAGGGAGAAGGAGAGAGAGAGAGGAGAACAGGAGAGAGGGAAGCAGAAGGGAGGAAAAGAGAAAGAGAGGGAAGGTGTGGAAAGAGGAGAGAAGAGGAAGAGAGAGCAAGGGGAAGTAGAGAAGAGAGAGAGGGCAGAGGGAAGAAAGGGAGGGAGGAGGAGAGAGGGAGAGGAGAACAGGAGAGAGGGAAGCAGAAGGTAGGAAAAGAGAAAGAGAGGGAAGGTGTGGAAAGAGGGGAGAGGAGAGGGAAAGACCAAGGGGAAGTAGAGAAGAGAAAGAGCGCAGAGGGAAGAAAGGAGGTAGGGAGGAGGAGAGAGGGAGAGGAGAACAGGAGAGAGGGAAGCAGAAGGTAGGAAAAGAGAAGGAGAGAGGGAAGGTGTGGAAAGAGGGGAGAGGAGAGGGAGAGACCAAGGGGAAGTAGAGAAGAGAGAGAGGGCAGAGGGAAGAAAGGAGGTAGGGAGGAGGAGAGAGGGAGAGAAGAGTGGAAAACGAAATAGACTATAATATGGTGTATGGAAAGCAGAAGAGCAAATAAAAATTGAAGAGGCTTAATGGCAAGAGGAATGGGTATATTACTGAATATTTAAAACATGTTTGTTAAGATGTAATGACATACTTTGGATTATTGTTGTATTGTTGTAATATATATACATATATTATATGTATGTTAAGAAATAAAACTTTTGGCAAAGGAAAAACGAGGGAGGGTCAATTGGCATCACCTTTTGGGGTCTGCTCCTCAGGGGTCCAGGGTTGGGTGATTGGCAGCCAGCAAAAGCTGTCTGGAGATGGGGAAGTTGAGTTAATATTACTGGAGTTTGAGTTTATTAATAAACATTATTAGAGTGTGAGTCTCTAGAGGTTCTTGGTCATCATCCAGGTCCTGGTCGTCCCAAAGGTGCTTTTTCAGGAGGCAATTGGAGTTTCTGGTTTTTTTCTTGGATGAGAAGCAAAATGTCTTCAAAGAAAAAAACAGAAAGTCCAGTTGCTTCCTGAAAAAGCACCAGGACAACCAGGACCTGGATGATGAGGGAGAAGCTCTACAGACTTTCAGCTATACAATTTGAGACGAACCCCCTTTGAATGGGGTGGGAGTAGGAATGGATTTCCAGAGGGAAAAATTGCAGACTACAGGAACCATTTGCATCACTCAGGTGATCCTCCTGAGGACACAGAAAAACCTCCTAGTGGCCTCAACGACCCTCTAAAAGGATGCAAATGACCAACTGTCTTTAAGGAGTGTAAAAAGCACCTTTGGGATATTAGAATGAATTTTATTATTATTAGGGTTGGTTGTACAGTCCACCAGATGTTTAGAACGGATTTGACCGGGATTTGGCGGTGAGCTGAAGAATTTGCCGATCTTTGGCTCGTCTGCTCCATGTATCAGATGGTTATCAGCAGCTCACAAAAAAACTGTATCTTTAACTCAGGTGTGTCATTTGGAAAAGGTGCCACCAGAGTAGATATTGGTGAGTCTCAAACAAGTTTTTTCTTCAGGAGGTTTTCAACTATGAGTTGGCTCAGCATCCGAGAAAGGTAGAGGGGATGTTGGCCACCAGGTAAACTTCATCCAGCAAATGAGGTTTAGCATTACAGGAGTCCTTCCGAAAAAGAATATTTTGTGTTTCATAACCTGATTGGCAGCTTCCCTTTTTTGTCTCTAGATGTCGCCTTTTCTCCAAGTGCTACATTAACCTCTACAAAGCCCATCCTGAATTCACAAAATGTATTTATAATCAGTTCATATCCCATCTGCAAACTTCTGTACGGGTAAGTGTCAGAACATGGACAGTTTCCTTCTTTTTTCCAAAGCACCCGGCAGTTGTTAGTTAGAAGCAAAGATTCCCAATTTGAAAAAAATGATTAGGGGACTAAAGACTAAAACATACAAAGAACGGTTGCAGGAATTGGGCGTCTAGTTTGATGAATAGAAGGACCCGGGTGACATAATAGCACTGTTCCAATATCTCAGGAGCTGCCACAAAGAAGGGTGGCTGCGTGTCAGCCTATTCTCCAAAGCTGAAGGTAAGGCAAGAAGCATTGAATGAGAGCTTATCAAAGAGAGAAGCAGCCTAGTATTAAGGAGAAAATTTCCTGACAGAACTATTAACCAGTGGAACGACTTGCTTCCAGAAGTTGTGGGTGCTGTAATACTGGAGGTCTTCAAGAAGACATTGGTCAGCCACTTGTCTGAAATGGTGTCGGGTTTTCTGCTTGACAGAGAATGAGGTGGCTGGAGGGAGTCACCGAAGCAGTCGG